GATATATGAACAAACCCTTCTGTAAAAGCCTTCATAATATTGATAGGAATATAACTGGAAGGTTTGGTGCATCTACGTACTACTGAAGTTGAAACTTCGAACTCAAGAGTAGGAGAAAAAACTCATTTTGAGAAAACGACCTTTAAAGATTGCAGTGAGGCACTAGCTAAACCCTCCTGTTCTTTGGATGACAGCTTGCGCATTGACGCACTCCATGAAGGTATTTCATGTTCGGGGTCATTTCTTTTTTGTATAACCTTGCTTCGTGGAAGTGACAATTGTTGTCGTCTTCTCTGTAAACGTTTTTTTCGCCGTTCTTTTGCCATTTTGAGATTTACATTTCTAGCGGAAAGCTCACCAGGAAGTGTTTTAGCACACCACGTGACGCATCTTAACGAATCACGTTGTCTGAAATTGACACCAGCCAATGAGATTTCGTTTCTTGGTTTAAGACCCCTTTCTACTTTCACGATTGGTTGCTGATACAAAGGAAACAACCATATTTGGATCCGATGAGATTGTGCAGGAGAGACACAGCTTTCCAACGATATCTCTGTTGACATGGTGCACACAGCGGTCGCGGTACTTTATGTTACATTAGAATGCTAACTTTTGGCGAATTTAGGAGAAATCTACTGACGCAAATAGACAAACTATAGTCAAATAAACACTTAAATGTGTATTTTGTACATTTTCCTTCCAAAATCCTTAAAGAAAACATGTTGAAAGAAAACATGTTATAGAATCAAAATAGCACAAATTCTCAAAATTGACCAGTGCTTGAAAAACGATGTTTTTCGCCTGCTGTGTCTCGCCTTAAGCTGCAATAAAATGCTGGAGAGACATGTAACTAATCTCACCAACATGGAAAAAGTGTTCAGGATATTCAGTATCAATAAATGTATGTTGTTGACAGCTGCACTGGGTGTGGACGTACCTTCTGTGTTTTCCTGATGGTGGGAGCCATGTCTTTGAAGTAGTCGGGCTCTTGGTCCATGTCGTTGGCTGTAGGTGAAACGTTTCCGTTGCCACCTTCGATCTTAATGCTTGTAGGGCCGTCTTCATCCCAGGAGCTCCATTCTTCAATCTCGGGCTGTGCGGTAGAGACAATAGAAAACTGTCAAATGTATACCTCGAACTCAAGTGCAGGAGTTTGTTTAATATGTATGCATAAGGGAATTACATGCAAAATAACAATATGTCATCCAAAGATCACGTGTAGTTTGCCTTTCCACATATTGTCTCAGTGCGGGTGCTGTTCAGGGACACAATACTGACCTGTTTTGGTACGGATGATGAAAAGTCCACGGTTGTCGGGAGGGTTATTTGATCACCACTGAGCTTGCGGCCTCTTCCACTCCTGCAGAGTTAATAGAATACAAATAACAAAATTCAACCATGGAAATAACAGAATTGGTAAACCATTGTTATCAAACGCCACGGTCCGATCACTTTAGAGTAGATAAGTAAGGTTTTTGACTGCCACTGTTCTTTTACCTTTTGGCCCAAATCCAGGAGGATTTTGAAATGTAAATAATACATGATAACTGCAAAGAAATGGGGCATTTGTGCAGCAGAACCGTGAAATGAATATGGCTTCATTAGCGTGTGCGGTGCTTTGAATTCTAAGTATTGATACACAGCAGATATCAATAGACAAAGCTTCGGCTGCAAACAGCTGTTCTACGCACCTCCCTCTGCTGATTTTGATTGATTATTAATGTAGATGAATGTAGATAAATCATGCATTTTTGTGACGACAGGTATGATTTGTTAACTTTTTAACAGCTGAGATCAAGTCCAATGGGATTCATGCAATGTGGAATCTTGATGCCTTTGTCACGTTTCCCCTGACATTAAAATTAAGCTCTGGATTGAAACCCTTCATGAACTACTACATTTCATTGATAAATCAGCATGCATGTGACCCACTAAGAAAGCAAACAATTTGACCTGTCTTCCCTCAAAATAATTCAAGTATTTCATGGTTGTTGGAAGTCACTTTGTTGAACAAGAGTATTCGAATAATCTGATATTTAGTTGTCCAGATATTATCATAACGTAGCAGTATACTGCTAATTTCTCAAAGGTTTTAGCTTTTTTTGACATATAGGTTTGCCCTTAACCAAGTGCATTCAGATCACAAGAGTATCAGGGTGTAATGGTCGTTGCTCGGTTGTGCTTACCTGCATATTAACCTTTTGAAGAAAGAAAGGAAGCTGGCTAGACATGTGCAGATCTTGAAGAGACGGAACTGAGTGATGGCCATGATGAAATTGAACTGATGGAAAAGGGAAGAGAAAATATCAGCGTTTAGATCAACATTTAAGAACATGACTGGTTTTGCTCCAAAGGACCAGGATGTATGTAGAGCAACAGTAGACCAATACGTATGACGGGTAACATACAATTAAGAATAGTTGACGAGGAATCAGTCTTTAGAAATCATTCAAATTACATATTATTCACAAGCTCAGCAGCTGTGACCTCTTATTTAAATGCCATCTGTATGTGAATAAACGGACACTTAGTAGATTGTAACAATAATAACAATAGAACATTACATTACATTGACACATTTAAACTGTTGTTTGATACGCAATACATCGCCATACAACAAACGGAGGTAAGGTTAGACACACGTTCTGTCAATATTTGTACGACATGAACGTAACAGAATTACGACTTAAAATTAGCTTTTTGCGTGTATTAGCATCGTGCTAATGCTCACCTTGCAATATGTCAATACACCGTGTACAGAGCAGCTGGTTTCTTCTTGAATGGTAGAAGAGGCAAGTTCATTTATTTGCTAATCGTTGCTTGCTAGCTTAGCCCACAGGAAAACATGATATCCCTGAAACCTTTACCTGTCTTTGTATAACGACCAATTGGCAGAGAAGAATTATATCGCTGTCATGTTAAAACCACGCATGTAACAGCCGTACACCTCAATGAGGTTTCAGGACAAAACTCCTAAATTCGTGTCGTCTCTCGTCTCTGTCCCATGGCTGCCATCTTTGAGCTGGGAGGAGCAGGAACAGGAACAGGGAAGTGCAGCGTGTTCGTGCTCCGTTCAGGTACTGTGGGAAATTAAGGACAAAACAATACTAGCTATTTCCAGAGCCATGGATTGGGTTCATTCCATGGAGAAATCCCTAGTTATAAACCTTTTAATTTGTGTCCGAATATTGTTTACGTATTCCAAGATATTTACAGTAGTGGGCGTGCTTTTACTCAACTAAATGTCGTAATTCCACTGTAAAAAAAAAACCTGAAAAAAACACAACAAACTCAGTTTCTATTTAAAGTCTCGCAATCACAATTTTACTAAAAGTGAATGAAAGTCTATTTGTGTTAAAATATTGTCAGAAACAAGTACCTCAATTTCCACTTAGGTAAGGTATACAGTACTGGAGTACTGTGATTCACATTTATATTTAGATAAAATGAATGGCCTGAACTATCGACCACCGCATGCATTTGGGAAGATGCATCAGAAAAACAGAGCAACAGACTTGGAACCTTTAAAAAAAACAGCAACCTTGAGTGGTTTATTTCTTTACCACCATCATTCTTTTTTTAAGCAACAAATACAACTATTCCTTGACCTCGCATCTGTATATTGATGGGACAGATGGTTAATGAAAAGTGAATAGACTTCTTTGAGAAAAGAGGTATGGTAGATTCAAAGATAATTTCACTTTGGATCCAGTAATGTGTCTGTATGATTAGACAAGAAAAAGGCAGTGTTTTTTCAATAACAAAATGATACATACTGTGGTAAGAGGGGGTTCTGATCAAATTATACTTACAGTAGGTGTGAGATAAAAAGTTTAAATAGAATGTTTACACAAAATGTAAATACCCCAGGGAAGTGTTCCAAGTTTTAGTTTATGTTTTATGGAAAGATCACAGTTTGAAGATGATAGGGCTTTGTTGATAAGAAGGAGAATAGCAGAATAAGAAAATAGCTACCGGCTTACAGATACCCAGGTTGAAATGTACATTATGTTATCAGCAGCCTGACTATACAGTATATGCAGTGGGTTTGTTGCCAACTCTCCATGGGCAGTTGTTGGGGCAAATCTGTTACGATCTGTCTGTGTTGTGTTTTTGTCATGTCTGGTTCTGTCTTTGGTTTCCTGTCTCTGTGTTTCCTCTCCCTTCTTTTCTGTGTCTGCTGATTGTGTGGACCTTGTGCCCGGTGTTGTCTCCTCCCCTCTCACCTGTGTCTTGTTCAGTTGATTTGTTTGTGTGCATTTAGGCTCAGGGGCCTCATCTATAACGCCGTGCGTAGGATTGACGTGGGAAGGTTGCTTACGTAGTAGAAATCCGAAAAATAGGTCCATACATTTTCCGCCACTTTCCGATTCACCAAACATTGCGTACCGGCGAGGAAAGTGCGTATGGCACGTCCTATGCCGGTTTCCCTTTATAATTCACAACCGACTCGAAATGCGGTGCAGCTTTTGCGGGCTTCACGTAACGCCCATATTTGCCTATAAATAGTAAAATAAACGCCCTTTCATTCATTAATTTTGACTGACTGCATGGAGAAGATCGCAGGAAATGACGACAGAAAAACTTTTAAAAAACTTCTCACACTGTCAGATTTTGGTTATTTTGGGGAGGTCGAAATAAATCATATTGTTTGGTTGATGAAGTTTGAACCAGAGTAGCAGCATGGAGGTCGGATCGTCACCAAAATAAATAAATAAGTGGTCCGAAAAAGATTCATGACAAAAAAAATACACACAGCCTTCCTCAGGCAGTGTGTTTGTAACGGGGACAGGAGACCCCCCCCCCTTGATGAGAAACTCTAAGAAATGATGGGGGAATCCCTCCGGAGTGGAGTCATGACGACTGGATCTGAATTATGTTTTTGTATTTGGTGGTTTGTGTCCCAGCTGTCGATCAGCTGTTCACAGCATCTCAACTGCAGCCTGTGCATCTCAACCCCCCTCCGCAGCAACTCTATATCCACCAGTTAAAGGAAATACAACTAATGTGTTGTGTTATATTAGCTGTACAATTTACCACATATGGTGCTCTTAGTTTCCATACCTCCTGTGTTTTACGAGCGACTTATCAAGTCTTGGCAAACGGCATAAAACACGATTAAACATGTATAAACATATAAAACCATGCTCGTATCTACAACCTATAGAAATGCAACACGGCGTCAGTTAGACGTAATCCTGTCCTCCTGCTTACCGC